GCCTTGTGCTCCCGATGGTGGGCATCAACAAGGGTCTGAAGAGCAGCTATCTCATCCCGAGACCGATCAACAATCCCACGAGCTACCCTTAGCTCGTCACGAAGAGATGTCAGAGATCTCTCGTTCTCAAGCTGAGCAAAGGCAAACTCAGCTCGATGCTTCGAGGCAGTGTCCGCCATTTGGAGACGCCTATTCCGCTCATGCTCGAGATCGTCGCGTAACCCTTGCGTTACGCGATCAAAGAAGCTCTCGGGAACACACGGATCCCCATGATCGTGTGGAGAGCGTCTTTCCTCCTCCTCCACCTCCATTAGAGGACTCTCGCGGTGGCCAGCGCTATCTAGTTGAGCAGCTGTTGAACCACCGCGACGTGAACGGACGTCGGACGAGTTATCTCGTCCGGTGGCGCGGCTATCCCCCGTCCTGGGATACTTGGGAGCCCCGCTCACAACTGATAGTTGACGTACTGGGTTTGGTTGAGCAGTACGACGCGGCACATCCTGTGCCGCAGAAGGACCGCCGGAGAAAGTCTTCCCGGCACGGTCGTAAAGGGATTTCAGGTTGTCAATCCCTTCGTACATCTCACTAGAGATACGTACGCGCCACCACGGGCTAGTAAGGAGGTAAGCCTCCTTAGGTGCTCGTGCAGAGTTGTTCACACAACATGGGCACGAGTCTCCCCAAGAGAGGCAGGGTAATCCTTTCTCCCTTGACAGACGATGCAGCTTGTAGCGTGCACCTGTCGGGGTTCTTTTCTCAAACTTATCACGAGCTTTGATAAGTTTGTCGTTCCAAGCGTCACGACTTACATCCTCAAGGTTATGGATGTAGGCATTCCACGCTTGAAGCAGTGAGGGACCATCACGCTTGTGATTCCCACTGTACCATCGATGTCTAAAGAAAGCATCGATGAAGAATTCATTCTCAGCGCGATAGTTTTTCGCGCTGGGTCAAGGTGATGGATCCTTGACGAATCGAACAACCGTGTTCGATAACGATCACTTATCGTCGCCGACAAGTGATCCATGACAGATTTTGGAGGCATCCATGCCTTCTTCTCGGGAGCGAGACGCAAGACATTGCGATCCCGCTCTTCCTGCGATGTGCCGACAGAAGTACTGGCACCTCGTTGCGGAGTGGTGTCCATAGGAGAACCGACACCACTATTAGCGCCCGAGTCTCGCGACCTCGAGCGCCTTCGCTTCGTCGAGGGTTCATCTGATTCATCAGATGAACCAAAGATGCTGCGACACATAGCATCATCCATGCCACACTTGGCAGGCGGCTTGGATTCGATCGCCGTCGGTACGGATCCGTCTTCCGTATCAGGAGAGTATGAGACACCGAGCTCATACTCTGTGAAGACATGAGTGTCTTCATGACGAGCGCCTGCATCACCAGGTGAAACAGGCTGAGTCCCTTCAGCATCCGATGAGGCATCGGTTGCAGCGGTTTCTGCTTCGGCGTCCGCACAGAGACGTGCGGACGCGCTCTCGGCGGCCTCGCTCGCGCATCGCATGGGCTTGTTAACCATGCGATGAGATGTTGGAAAGTGGACTCGGACCAACAAGTGCAAACCCTGTCCCAAATGATTTGGGACGAGTATATATTTAGTCAATCAGTCACTAAAGTGACTGATGGTTAAGGGGGGGTGATGTAACGGGGTGAATCGTTACATAACAATTTATAAGAAATTGTTAATAGAATATTACGATAAGAGTTATATTCTCAGAATATTGTCATAAGGACAAATATTCTGTAGCACTTACAAGTAGTTCCTAATTGGTTGATATAGGCCATTATATCAACCAACGAAGACGCGCTACGACAGACGCACGCAATGAGTGGTGAGCAGATAGTTGATATGCACATTTGTATTCAGACATAGTTAGATGAGGATAGATAGTGATTTAATAACAGTCATTAACTATGATAAATACAGTTCTACCTTTTGCTTTAACCAAGTGCTCGCTTCTTCTTAATGTCTTCCTCTGCACGTACGAGTGTACGTGAAGTTACGAGGCACCGCCTTATTCTGTTGTCAGAATAAGTAGCTTGTACTTTCACCAGTACAAGCTTCAGGGTGCCCCGTTACATCAGTCTAGCTGAGAGCGACAAAGTAGCTGAGCTTTACGCTTTCCAACAGCTTTCGATCATCCGTAGATGTTTTACGTACGGAAGCATCAAACATTTACGATCCAACTGTCCTTTGAGTAGGAACAGATATACCCATTCGAGTTGACCTCCCGTCACCTCCCGTCACTAACCAACGAGTTGGTATAGCGCGGACAACGTCGAGTCCCCGTAGGCGCAGGGCGCCCTGCTGGGGAGCATTTATACTCTATTGTACCTCTGGGAGGTGATGGAAAACCGGGTCTAGCCCCAAGCGGTTTCGTGAGCAATTTCACGAAGCAGGAGAACAAGGCGGTTTTGTTAGTTGCGAAAGCAACAGTAAAGGGCTTTGATACGCCATGGTCGATATTGATCGACTTAGGGGCGTCGGGAATTTGTGTCTGGCGTTGTTCCCTGGAAAAATGTCAGGATTATGCTGAGGCGCTGAAAGCGCGAAAGTATAAGCCTATCACCGTTCCCTTGGCGATATGTGCATTTGTCACTCTGCCTAAAGTTCCTGTGAACTTAGGCGTGGATTTTTTGGACTTTGACAGTATCGGACGATGTCTAGTCCTTGACTTGGATAAGAAGTATGATCTTAACGTTTATACTGCTTGGCTAGATCGCCATGAGCCATGCATGAATGGACGCCAAGACGTTGGCCGCAACGCACACTGTTACTAGTGGAGCTTTGGAGATTCATGATCCCACCTCTGCTAGGTGACAGAAACGCTATTTGCGCGAGCTACGGAATGAGACAGTCAGTGTGTAAACATCGGTATGGCTGAGCTCGTTGAGTTGGAAGATGTCAAAAACATCAGTTTCGAGACAAGCTCGTTGCACTATTGTGAAACAACACGTACTTCGTCGATTGATAATTGTTGTGATAACGAATAAATGAATGCTGATTGCGTCGTTGGTCTAGAGCCAAGTGACCGTGCTTGGAGCCCATCTGGTGAGCGTGGAGTGGCACGTAAGCACCCACTGAGTGATGTTGGCCGTTATTGAGACACACTGAATGTCAGTCGAGACATTGTTGAAGAAAGACCAATTCATCCAGGGCAACGCCCGTTTGATGAGCGTGGAGTGGCACGTAAGTACCCACTGTGTGGTGATATCACTAAAAGTGACTCATTACCCAATGTCGGTAATGACATCGGATTGGATATATATCAAATTATGGTCGACGCAGTTCGTCACCTAGGGGACAAAGTAGTCTTAGATGTCGGCTATGACATCAGTCCTGATGTTGAGCAAATTAAGTTTGACGCAGTTCGTCACCTTATGGAAAGTGTTGTCCCAGATGTAGGTAATGACATCAGCCCTAATATTGGGAAAATTATGGTTGACGCAGTTCGCCACCTTGGGGGAGGTATAGTCTTGAATGCCGGTATTGACATCGGATCTGGTATATACAACTTATGGTTGGTGGTCATGTTAATCTTGCGGACATTGATGTCACGGGTGTCGGTAATGACACCGGCTCTTGGACAGAGCAAGATAAGGATGACGATGCAATCAACCTTGGGAACAAGAAATTTCCAGGATCTTCAAGACGTTAAGTCTCGTCACAGAGACGACAGCGACGCAAGAGTGATGTAATGCAACGCAAGGCGTCTGTTACGTCACTGAGTGATACTAGCGAGCAGATTTATACACTCGATTATGGAGTGACTGGTGACGTTGATAGATCAGTGAGTCATGAGACTCTACCCTCACCGAACACTCTGATAGAGCTAAATGAAATGTATGTCTATGAGTTTGGCCTGACCTTGAAGTCGGGTGACTTATCTGAAGTGGTGGTCTTTAGATCCTATAGTGAGTTGAACTCGTCGTCACTTCTTGACGAGGCTGTCTTGAAGGACACAAAGGCGGCACTGAGTACTCGAAGTGTGTCTTCAATCTTAACAGATCCTATAGACCCGTTTTTTCCTTTGGTAAAATAGTTTCAGGATGTCATGTGTGTCATGATCCACCTTCCAGTCTGGCTCCTGATCGGGGCGCCCGTCATGAAATTGACTGATTTCCCGGAACCAACTACTGTGTGACACGGCAATGGCCCCTACCAAAGGAGCAGTTATTTCGTGCAAAGCACGCGACTGGCATGGTGCGTGAGAGCAAGTCTCCGCACTCGGCACCGACTTTTTGTATCAGGAAGTCAAACGGCAAGTGGCGCAATGTGCATGCTTACAACAATCTCAATGAATGCACTGTACCGGCACATGCCTATTCCTAGAAAGGATATTCTTCAGAACGCTATGGTAGGTTCTACCATGTTTAGTGCACTCGATTTTGTCGATGTTTATTATCAGTTGCACATGCGAGCGAGCTATATTACGCTCACAGCGGTTATTACTTCAAGCGGTATGCTTTGGGAGTGGATTGCCAGGCCTTAAATGTACTGGGGTGAACCGTTACATAACAATTTATAAGAAGTTGTTAATCGAATATTACGATAAGAGTTATATTCTCAGAATATTGTCATAAGGACAAATATTCTGTAGCACTTACGAGTAGTTCCTAATTGGTTGATATAGGCCATTATATCAACCAACGAAGACGCGCCACGACAGACGCACACAATGAGTGGTGAGCAGATAGTTGATATGCACATTTGTATTCAGACATAGTTAGATGAGGATAGATAGTGATTTAATAACAGTCATTAACTATGATAAATACAGTTCTACCTTTTGCTTTAACCAAGTGCTCGCTTCTTCTTCTTAATGTCTTCCTCTGCACGTACCAGTGTACGTGAAGTTACGAGGCACCGCCTTATTCTGTTGTCAGAATAAGTAGCTTGTACTGTCATCAGTACAAGCTTCCGGGTGCCCCGTTACACCTGGTAGCACTTTGTAGTCCGTCCAAGGACCACGTTCACATCTAACATGAATATGTTAGATGCGGATGATGACCAAAGCTTTCACGCTACGCGTGATGGCTACTCCCATTTGAGCGATGTCGAATGGGATGCGGTTGAACGGATGGGTTCAACCATGGGCATCCATGCTGTTAGCGTCATGCTAGAAGCTCTCAATAGAGATGCCCAACATGCTACTATCGCCAAGTTCATTCAAAATGAACTTGACGCAGAACGCGAGAAAGTAGCCTTGCTTCACCAACAAGGTTCTCAACAATCAGAGCTGTTGAGAGAACAGGTTTCTCAACAGTTTGAACTGTTGAGACAGCAGCAGGCTGCTGCTGGTGAGTCGATGCACTCGCGTCGGCCCGAGACTTTGAAGATTGACATCTCTAAGTATAGGGGAGTCGAAGAAGACTCACTCCTGAGATGGTTTGTCGAATTAGACGACGCCATAAGGGCGCGTCGCATCGACGATGGGGATATGCAAGTTGCATTTGCCCAGTCAAATCTGGCCGGACGTGCCAAGACTTGGGCACTGGGACTCAAGTTGCACGACCCATATGCGTTTGGGTCATTATAAGTCTTCAAGTTGCGGCTCAGACAAACGTTTGAACCGCCTAGAGCTGAGTTCAGAGCTCGAACCGACCTCTTGAAGCTCAAGCAAGGTAAGCGTGATGTGCACGCTTACGCGCAACATATACGACATCTCACGAGTTGTATAAGTTCCAATCCGGTTGATGAACACACGTTGGTTTCGGTGTTCATGCAGGGTCTTGCGGATGGTCCCGTCAAGACTCACCTGTTCCGACTTGAACTAGATTCACTAGAACAAGCCATTTCCATTGCGGAACAGGAAGACTTTAGTCTGAGACAGGCTCGCGCCACTCGACATCAGATCGTACACCGAGACGATATGACAGCGGAGGTACAGAGCTGATGGAACTCTGTTATGTAAAGAGCGAGAAGGCTCGCTCTACAGACTACAAGAAGTTGCAGAAATGCAACAGATGTCAAAAGACAGGACACTACGCTTACGAGTGTAGTGCCCCTCGTCCAGTGTCTCGCAACACTGGGCGTAGTGACCGTCCACCCATGAGAAAGGGGCAGGGACGCGGGTCCGCTGTTGATGCAAAGACGCAACAACGGGATGGACCGTCAAAAAACGGACAGGATCAGAAGGTGCGGAGCACCCTACTGGTCCAGCAACGTCAATAGAATTTGTAGGCCTCTTGACGAAGGTTGCTCCCAACACACACACGTTGTGCGTTGCTGCTCTAGGTAATGAGGTCTCACTCATTACCCTGAAACTCGAAGTGACGAATAAGTTGTCCCTTCGAGCTCTAGTCGATTGTGGGGCGTCCAACAATTTTGTGCGACGCCAATCGCTAGAAGATGGTCACTTTAAATTCAGTGAATGTGACACACCTCCTACGAGGATGACGGTACGTCTTGCGACAGGCGCATCCGTAACCGTCATGAAGCGTATAGTGAAGATCCACTATACGCTAGAAGATACCCAATACGACGATGACTTTATCGTATTGGATTTGGATGACAAATTTGACGTCATCCTTGGAATACCGTGGCTCAGAAGATACGAACCACGGGTTAACTGGCATCATCGAACAGTAACGATGCCTGCCGCTTGTTCATCAGATGGCCATCTGATGAACGTTTTGGAGCGTCCACAAGCGTGTGGATGTACTACGAGTGAATGCGATGGCCTCACTTGTGGTACGGTCGTTAGTACGACTGCACAAAACCTTAGTGTAACAAATGGTTACACTTCGGAGCAAAGTTCCGGCGGCTGTGAGGAAGCACAGGCTGCGCCGAAGGTCCACCACTCGAATAAGTCGAGTGGACCGGGACAAAGATGTATCCCTAGCGGGGAACATCCAGAAGATAAACAATCGATCGCTCAGGATAAGCTAAACGATAATCCTAGATCGACTGGAGAGTCTTTCGTATAGGATCTCGCTGTGGTTGCGCAATCACAGCTAGAGGAAGTAAAGGGAATAAGTCCCAAGATTACAAATACGGCGGAAATAAGTTCCCCGAAACCCGCGGGAATGAGTCCCCGGGGAGCCGAAGAAATAAGTCCTTCGAGGCCTGAGGGAATAAGTCCCCAGGAAATGACAGAGACATTGAATGTCATAGTCAATGACGGATCAAGTGTAGGCGCTTATACACTTGATCTGATTGCGCCTCCGAAGTTCACTTCGGAGATCACTCAGTTGCCAACGCTCGAACATAAAAGGTTCTTGCATGATCTGCGTAGTGGCAAAGTCAAGCCGATCTGCATACTCGTCGCTGACGACGAGTGTGTAGCCGACATAAGGTCAGCAACAGTGTTCACTGAGAACGAGAGAGTTCTCAGTAGTTCATCTATGGACGAGAGTGTCCTAGATGAAAAGACACGAGTCGAGCGATATGACTCCCAATCGTAGGAATCGCTCAATACAAATCCTCTCTATGAAGATTTGGTTGAATTCAAGGATGTATTCCCTGAAACTGTTCCGTGCGAATTACCGAAGGATAAAGGTAATCGACACGAGGTCGAGCTTAAACCAGGCTCGAAGTACTGTGTCATGTAGCAGTGGCCACTGCCTCGTTAACAAGTACTTGCAATCGACAAGTTCTTTGCCGATCGTTTAGCTGCGGGCCAGGTGAGGGAATCAACTTACCTACATAGCACTCCGACCTTCTGTGTGCGAAAAGCAACAGGAGGGTGGCGGATAGTGCACGCATTTAACAATTTGAATGCTGCAACGGTACCGGCTCGGACTCCGATACCGAGGAAGGACGTAATCATTGATGGTATGTCAAAGAGTACCATCTTTTCGTCCATGGATTTGATGGATGGCTTCTATCAAATCCTTATGCGAGAACGGGATATACCCTATACCGCAGTTAGCACGCCTAGCGGCATGCTCTGGGAATGGCTAGTAATGCCACAAGGGCTTAGTAATGCCCCTGCCACGTTCATCAGATGCGTATCACATCTGTTGAGACCAGTACGAGAATTCGCGCCGAGTTATTTCGATGACGTATTCATCCATAGTCGAGCTATGGATGGAAAGTCGAACGTTGAGGTTCACAGGTACCACGTCCGACAGGTTCTTACAATCATGCGAAAGCATCAATTGTATGCAAACCTCAAGAAGTGTATATTTGCAGCAAGCGAAATACCACTTCTTGGGTGCATCGTTGGTAAGAACGGTGTACGTCCTGATCCCGAAAAGATCAAGGCGATCACCGACTGGCCTGTGCCGGTTGATGTCAAAGGTCTTCGAAAATTCCTTGGGCTAGCGGCGTATTTGCATAAGTATTCACGCAATTACGCCGAGATGACTGTGCACCTCTCTCGTTTGTAGAAAAAGAACGAGAGGTGGTCATGGAACGCTGAATGTCAGCGCTCTTTTGATGGTATCAAGCAGAGCTTGATACAATCCCCAGTCCTAGCAATAGCCGATCAGGACAGGCCATTTCATGTGGTCTGTGATGCCAGCGATTTCGCAATCGGCTGTGCATTAATGCAGTACGACCTTGAAGGCGTTGAACGCGTCGTCTGCTATCAGTCGCGTCAGCTGCAACCAGCTGAGCGGAACTATCCCGTGCATGACAAGGAACTCCTTGCCATGAAGTATGCACTCGCGAAGTTCAGAGTCTATCTATTAGGAGATAGACCCTTCATTGTTTACACTGACATGCGTCATTACGCACGGCAGTGAACAGCCCGCACCTTTCACAACGAATGGCGCGGTGGTTTTCATTCTTTGCAGAATACAACTTTACGGTCGAGTACAAACCATGACGACTTAATGTCGTCGCTGATGCACTCTTACGTCGTCCCGACTTTGAAACAGTCGTGAAACCCAACAGTGAGACAGTCACTGTTGCGGTTATGACGCCCTCAGTCCCATCTACAACGTTGTATGATGATGTGAGGCGGGCATACGCCCAAGATGGTGAGATTGTAAAGTTGTTGACACATCTCTCACAGCCATCTTGAGAATCGTTGAAACGATTGTCGTCTGCGTATCGATCTGCATCAGATCGATGCACTACTCGTAACGGTTTACTGTATTATACAGCCGTTTCTGGTGACACACCACGTGTTGTCATTCCAGATGATACTGATCTGCGTTTGCGGGTCATGTTCGAGTATCACGATGCTCCTATAGGAGGACATCGTGGCCGAGAGAAACATATCTCACGGTAAGTCGAGACTTTTACTGGCCCCGCCAGTATGAGTTTGTGTGAAAGTATGTTCGAGCATGCGAAGTCTGTCAACGAGTGAAGCCAAGTACTTCACTGCGTGCACCTTTACAGCCTCTACCGGTTCCGGCTGAGTGCTGGGAATCCATCTCAATGGATTTCGTCTTCGGGTTACCCAAAGACGCACGCGGGAATACGGGTATTCTCGTATTTGTTGACAGATTCAGCAAAATGGTACACCTTGTGGCTGTACCAGAGACAATCACGGCAAGTGGCTGTGCTTGTGTCTTTATTGACACCATCTTCCGACTTCATGGGTTGCCCCGTGAACTCGTATCAGACAGAGATCCACAATTCACTGCTGATTTCTGGCGTTCCGTGTTCAAATCACTCGGAACGCGCTTGAAGATGTCGACATCTGATCATCCAGAGTCAGATGGTCAGACGGAACGTGCCAATCGTGTCCTTGAAGAGATACTTCGAGGATACGTACACTCCTTTAAGAGTTGGAGTGAGTTTTTGCCGATGGTAGAGTTTGCTATTAACAACTCAGTGCATGCGTCCACGACACATACACCGTTTTACGTGAATGCCTTACTCCATCCGCATGTACCCACCTTACTAGAGTGTAACTCTGGTTTAAGGGGGGAGGGACTCGCGCGAGCAAAAACTGATTTGGTGCACGCTCATCACGCTCTGACGAAGAGGTCATTGCGTTTGATGCCGATATCGATAACATCGATATCGAAGAAGATGATCCCAGTGAGAGTGCGGAAGCCCTCACTGAAGAAAAGGTTGATGTTGCTGCAGTGTGCTCACAGCGCACTGAAGCTAACGAGCCATCAGATGAGTTCATACTGGCTCGTGAAACGGTAGTCCGTTTTGTGCAAGACTCCATCGCCGAAGCGGTGGACAAGCAAAAGCAAAACGCTGACAAGAATGGAAGGGCAAACACTCTTTTAATTAGTAAAGGTGACTTAGTCCTACTGTCTACGGTTAATCCACCAAAGCATGTAGTGACTAACTTGGGTAGCAGTAAACTACTACCCAAGTACATCGGCCCTTTCGTGTATTGCATCGCCTAGGAAACGCATACACGATCGAGTTGCCACGTAAGATGCGAACGCATCCCACATTTACGTTGGTCGGCTTAAGTCGTACCATCAGTGCGCTGCTTCTTCCGATGAAGAACGCCCTTGCGCTCAAGCATCTAGCAGAGAGCCTTGTGCTCCCGATGGTGGGCATCAACAAGGGTCTGAAGAGCAGCTATCTCATCCCGAGACCGATCAACAATCCCACGAGCTACCCTTAGCTCGTCACGAAGAGATGTCAGAGATCTCTCGTTCTCAAGCTGAGCAAAGGCAAACTCAGCTCGATGCTTCGAGGCAGTGTCCGCCATTTGGAGACGCCTATTCCGCTCATGCTCGAGATCGTCGCGTAACCCTTGCGTTACGCGATCAAAGAAGCTCTCGGGAACACACGGATCCCCATGATCGTGTGGAGAGCGTCTTTCCTCCTCCTCCACCTCCATTAGAGGACTCTCGCGGTGGCCAGCGCTATCTAGTTGAGCAGCTGTTGAACCACCGCGACGTGAACGGACGTCGGACGAGTTATCTCGTCCGGTGGCGCGGCTATCCCCCGTCCTGGGATACTTGGGAGCCCCGCTCACAACTGATAGTTGACGTACTGGGTTTGGTTGAGCAGTACGACGCGGCACATCCTGTGCCGCAGAAGGACCGCCGGAGAAAGTCTTCCCGGCACGGTCGTAAAGGGATTTCAGGTTGTCAATCCCTTCGTACATCTCACTAGAGATACGTACGCGCCACCACGGGCTAGTAAGGAGGTAAGCCTCCTTAGGTGCTCGTGCAGAGTTGTTCACACAACATGGGCACGAGTCTCCCCAAGAGAGGCAGGGTAATCCTTTCTCCCTTGACAGACGATGCAGCTTGTAGCGTGCACCTGTCGGGGTTCTTTTCTCAAACTTATCACGAGCTTTGATAAGTTTGTCGTTCCAAGCGTCACGACTTACATCCTCAAGGTTATGGATGTAGGCATTCCACGCTTGAAGCAGTGAGGGAACATCACGCTTGTGATTCCCACTGTACCATCGATGTCTAAAGAAAGCATCGATGAAGAATTCATTCTCAGCGCGATAGTTTTTCGCGCTGGGTCAAGGTGATGGATCCTTGACGAATCGAACAACCGTGTTCGATAACGATCACTTATCGTCGCCGACAAGTGATCCATGACAGATTTTGGAGGCATCCATGCCTTCTTCTCGGGAGCGAGACGCAAGACATTGCGATCCCGCTCTTCCTGCGATGTGCCGACAGAAGTACTGGCACCTCGTTGCGGAGTGGTGTCCATAGGAGAACCGACACCACTATTAGCGCCCGAGTCTCGCGACCTCGAGCGCCTTCGCTTCGTCGAGGGTTCATCTGATTCATCAGATGAACCAAAGATGCTGCGACACATAGCATCATCCATGCCACACTTGGCAGGCGGCTTGGATTCGATCGCCGTCGGTACGGATCCGTCTTCCGTATCAGGAGAGTATGAGACACCGAGCTCATACTCTGTGAAGACATGAGTGTCTTCATGACGAGCGCCTGCATCACCAGGTGAAACAGGCTGAGTCCCTTCAGCATCCGATGAGGCATCGGTTGCAGCGGTTTCTGCTTCGGCGTCCGCACAGAGACGTGCGGACGCGCTCTCGGCGGCCTCGCTCGCGCATCGCATGGGCTTGTTAACCATGCGATGAGATGTTGGAAAGTGGACTCGGACCAACAAGTGCAAACCCTGTCCCAAATGATTTGGGACGAGTATATATTTAGTCAATCAGTCACTAAAGTGACTGATGGTTAAGGGGGGGTGATGTAACGGGGTGAATCGTTACATAACAATTTATAAGAAGTTGTTAATAGAATATAACTATAAGAGTTATATTCTCAGAATTTTGTCGTAAGGACAAATATTCTGTAGCACTTACGAGTAGTTCCTAATTGGTTGATATAGGCCATTATATCAACCAACGAAGACGCGCTACGACAGACGCACGCAATGAGTGGTGAGCAGATAGTTGATATGCACATTTATATTTAGACATAGTTAGATGAAGACAAATAGTGATTTATTGCAGACATTAACTATGATAAATACAGTTCTACTTTTTACTTTAACCAAGTACTCGCTTCTTCTTACCGTCTTCCTCTGCACGTACGAGTGTACGTGAAGTATCGAGGCACCGCCTTATTCTATGATCAGAATAAGTAGCTTGTACTTTCACCAGTACAAGCTTCAGGGTGCCCCGTTACACCCGTTTTTTCCTTTGGTAAAAGAGTTTCAGGATGTCATGTGTGTCATGATCCACCTTCCACTCTGCCTCCTGATCGGGGCGTCCGTCATGAAATTGACTGATTTCCTGGAACCAACTACTGTGTGACACGGCAATGGCCCCTACCAAAGGAGCAGTTATTTCGTGCAAAGCACGCGACTGGCATGGTGCGTGAGAGCAAGTCTCCGCACTCGACACCTACATTTTGTATCAGGAAGTCAAACGGCAAGTGGCGCAATGTGCATGCTTACAATAATCTTTATGAATACACTGTACCGGCACAGACGCCTATTCCTAGAAAGGATGTTCTTCAGAACGCTATGGTGGGTTCTACCATGTTTAGTGCACTCGATTTTGTCGATGGTTATTATCAGTTGCACATGCGAGCGAGCTATATTACGCTCACAGCGGTTATTACTTCAAGCGGCATGCTTTGGGAGTGGCTTGTCATGCCTTAATTGATTTCTAATGCCCCGGCTACATACAATCGTCTCGTGACGCAATTGTTCCGACAGCACCGAGAATATGCACAAAGCTATTTCAATGACACCTTCGTCCATAGCCGTGCAGAACTTAGAAGATCAAATGTGGACAATCACATTGACCATTTACGAGCAGTGCTTTCGTGCATGCGCACGAAAAAGCTGTATACAAATGCATCAAGATACCGATTTGGTGCTGAAGAAATTCCCTTTCTCGAGTGCTTCATTGGGAAGCGCGGCCTTCGAGCAGATTCCGCTAAGGTTAAGTCAATTGTTGACTGGTCGGTTCCGTCGAATCAAAAGGACTTGCGCAAATGGCTCGGCCTTGCTGAATACTTGCACAAGTCAATTGCAAGCTACGCGGACATGGCATGGTCATTAACCAAACCCCTAAAGAAGTATGCCGTTTAGTGTTGTGACGCAGTTTATGTTCAAGCTTTTGAAGCTATTTAGGACAGTCTCCTTCATAGTCCAATTTTGGCTTTGCCTGACCCTGAGTGGCCTTTCAGTGTCGTTTGTGGCGCGTCTGATTTTGCCATTGGTTGTACCTTATTGTAGATAGATGTCGATAGACATGAGCGCGTCATTGCATATGAATCTCGTCAACTCAAGGCGGCAGATAAGAAGTATTCAGTTCACGACGAAGAGTTACTCATAATAAATTACGCTCTTGTCAAATTCAAAGTCCACCTACTTGGCTTAAAGCCTTTCGTGATCTTCACCGATCATGCGTTTTACCACTCGGTCTGCGGATGATCCGCTGTGGACATGTCCAACCTGGTACCAGCATCTTGAAGATGGAAGTCCAAAACTTGCCAGTGAAACATGGATCAATCCGATATTACGCGCAGAACCTTACCAACTCTTGCTAATTGTTTTATAAAATTTAAATATATAGAACAGGTGTTGCATGGCTGTCGTCAGCTCGTGTTGTGAAATGTTGGTTAAATCTTTTAATGAGCGCAACCTTTATTGTTATTTTCAAATTTTTCTCTAGAAGTAAAAGTACTCTTATGAAAAAATTAATGATGCGACTATTATTACCAATTTATTGTCAGCAATACCATTAATAAGGAAAGATATTGTTGATTGGTTACCGATGATAAAAAGCAAGGTAATTTGATCACAGTCTTTCGTCTACAAACATCCCTTGCTGCTCTAAGCCTACTGGGCTCTTGATTGCTCGCTTGCTAACGTTACTCACGTTACGTCCCACCATGTCCTTGTTGTAGTTGGCAAAATTAGATTCCGTCGACACATGAGGCATACTGACACCATGGACATCAAATGAAAAACACACTCAAGAACAAATGTTGTACACTTTTTACAACGGACAACAGGAAAACGAAGGTGAAAGGAAAGTGCAAGGAAAATGCATTAACGTAGGTTTGCCACTTTTTACGACCCATCACGGAAAAATACGTTGGGAACAACCTTCACAAAAAGAACATGGGAATAGTCACTTCTTCTTTACGGCAAGGTAATGCCGACCCAAGATGACCTGATCTCCAGAATTGCCGCCGTCTTAGACGCCGTTACAGATTACGCCGACGACTACTCAGTCAACGTTAGGCGCCCGTCAAGACTACCAATCAGGCCTATCGCTCTACCAGCTAGCAACTTACAGATCCGAAATCTCTGCTGTCCCTCGCCCATTTGGCATACCTCGTATCAATGCACTGCGAATTCTAGGGGCATCCTCATTTGTTTCGAATCAAAAGCTCCACCACAAATCGCAAAGTGTGGACCCGTCGTGATGAGGCGTAGGCGATCTTGGCTCAAGCTAGCGCAGCTGTTTTGTGTCAAGGTCTTCGAACATTTTCTTACTGTAGCGCTCGTTACATGGCTCTTGTAGCGTGGCCGATGCTTCCTTGCTAGCCTTTCTGACGCACATGAACACTCACGGTGTATGACTTTGTCTCGAGATCAAAAAAATCATGCTTTGCCTACTCTGTAGCCGGCCTCACGAGCTTTGCTAGTTGAATGGATCCCGTAGCTTTCAGAACAGCCATAATCTAATCAAGCTGGCCCTTCAAGATTCACCTCCTCGCTCGAACCTCGCACCGAATCGAGCAGACGCCGGAAAAATCTAGACGCGTATCTTTGCGAGTGGTATTCGTGCAAATCGAGGCGACTCACCGCGAGGTGTTTTGAATCTTGTATAGACCCTGGCGGGACTAATCTTTAGCTTGACGTTCGTTCAAAGGGCACGGCTGTGTGTGAAATTCGAAAGGTCGTTCTCCTGTGGGATGAGCAGGAGATAATCAGGAGCATTCGACGCCACATTGGATAAAGGTCCATGTAGCAAGAGGACCTTAGCTGGCCCCTCGGCCGGGACCTCCTCCTTCACTTGTGATCTTCCCTCGTGCTTCACTCACTATTCCCACCGATTACAACCCGATTGAGACCGATGCCGCCATCTGCCGACTCGAATGCCATCAAGCTCGTGGGCTTCAAGAACTTCCAGCAGTACAATCCACGCACGGACCGGTTCGATGTGCACAAGTTCCACCACGTCGAGTTCTACTGTACGGACGCGACGAATGCGTCCCGTCGCTTCGCGTGGGGCCTGGGCATGAGCCACGTCGGCAAGTCGGACCAGTCGACTGGCAACCACGTATCGGCGAGCTACGTCATTCAGAGCGGGGAGGTCAAGCTCGTCTTCACTGCTCCGTACGCCCTGGAGACGGACAAGGCACCGGAAGCCGTGAGTCCCCTGCCAGGCTACGACCCGGAGTTTGCCCAGAAGTTCGTGCTGAAGCATGGCCTGGCTGTCCGTGCAGTGGGGATTCAGGTCGGAGACGCTCAAGTCGCCTACGAGCTCTCGGTCCAGAATGGCGGAGTGGGTGTACAGAAGCCCCATACGCTCACGGACAAGGCGTCGGGCAAGTCGACGACGATCGCCGAGGTGCAACTCTACGGGGACGTTGTGATCCGATGGATCAGTGGGGACTTTGACGGTGGCTTCGTGCCTGGCTATGACACCTGCGAGTGTCCCGATGCGAGCATCGGCATCCAGCGTCTCGATCACTGTGTGGGCAACGTGCCCAAGCTGCTGGACGCAGTCAAGTACGTTGCCGGCTTCACGGGTTTCCACGAGTTTGCCGAGTTCACGGCCGACGACGTGGGCACGATGGACTCGGGGCTGAACAGCATGGTGCTGGCCAGCAACAACGAGATGGTGCTGCTCCCGATTAATGAGCCAACGTATGGCACGAAACGCAAAAGTCAGATCCAGACGTACTTGGAGCAGAACGTCGGCGCGGGGCTGCAGCACATGGCGCTCAAGACCAACGACATCTTTTACACGTTGGCGGTGAGTTGGAAGCTTTGGGCACGGCAGTTCAACTTGAGGTGCCTGAGTTCTTACCCCTTTATTTGGCTGTTTCACTGCACAGGAAATCCGGAAGCGGAGTCACCTGGGCGGCTTCGAGTTCATGCCCAAGCACAACAAGGTCTACTACGAGCAGATGCCAGAGCGCATTGGTGACGCCTTGACCAAGGAGCAGTACAAGCAGATCGAACAGCTCGGTCTACTCGTCGACAAGGACGAACAAGGCATTCTGCTGCAAATCTTCACCAAACCTCTGGGCGACCGCGCAACTGTCTTCTTTGAGATCATCGAGCGAGTTGGGTGCATGCGGGACGTTGCCGGGCGCCTTGAGCAGGCTGCGGGTTGCGGAGGATTCGGCAAAGGCAATTTCACGGCGCTGTTCAAGTCCATTGAGGAGTACGAAAAGTCCCAACTAAATGTCTAGTAGGCCAGCGGCTGCAGCGCCATCACGTACGCTGTTAACGGAGGTGGTGGTCACCCATGCAACGAATAGAAAGACTGGGGCAATGTGGGTGATTTAAAGTACGTCGACATGATGAGGGAGGGAAATCGCGAATGGACCGCAGCATCGCTTCTCCCCGTCGTGCCTTCTCAACCGATTGATGTTCGGCTGCGTTTTGGGAGTGACGTCTCAATAGTCTTGTTCGTTCGCTTTTCTTCTTCTTCTTCTTCTTGTTGTTGGAACGCTTTTTCTTTGATTTGCTCGTTTTCTCTTGAGCTTCTCCACCGGCATTGTCCACGTAAAAGAGGTTATCCGTATCAGCGGACATATCCGTGGCGTCAACAGTAGAAGGCGATGCCGTCCGATAACTGGTCTTGTCCATCCTGCCCTCCGCAAGCTCGTCCAAGTACTTGAGGTAGCCCTATCGTACGCAAACAATTGGCACGAGTTAGACACCTTAGCTCAGCATACGAAGTAGCTCTCTCAACCACAAACTACCCACTCACTCTCTGGATAAAAGGCATTTCCACGTCCGACACACCACCTGAGCTCAGCAACATGCTCATCATCCTTTTCTGGTCAAAACACTCTTTCCATAGCCGTTGTATGGCCTTTTCCAACACGGACTCCGGGTTCGTAGTCTGTTCATGGTCCAACCACGACACGAAACTGGCAGGCACTGGTACACCTGCCAGCCGTGCCATAGCCGTAGTAATGGTCGGTAAAGTCGACTTGCACTCTGCACGCATGAAATGTACCGCGCGACGGAGACACAAGACGGTCTCGAACAAAGCGCGGTCCTGTGCTGCAATCTTCTCTTCCGTAGCACTCTCTTTTGCACGGTCGAACAACGTCGCTCTACCGAATGCGCGCGAGTATACAGTGCCAACACAGTCGAGTAACGCGCACCAATCCTGTGGGTCCAGAGCCTCCTCTTCATCTTCATCCAGGTACGTCGTAGGCTTGTGGAGGCTTTGCAAAAAGGATAACACGGACACAAGCCATCGATCGTCTGGACAAAGTTTGCGCTGCCGCATCTGAGCAGCAAACAGTATTTGCCGAGTCGTGTACTGGGCCTGCGCTAGCGCACTGCTCTGCTTCTGTGTCTTTGGTGCCGCTTCTTCCTCATCATCACCTGAAAAAGAAGATTCATCCGACGTTTCCTCTTCACGGTTGTCAATTGGGAAGTACACACCAAGCGTGAGCAACGTGCCATATATCTTTGCCATCTCGTTGTCATACGACACTCGTTGCAGCTCTCTGCTTTCTGCTGGACGGTAAAACATCGTCCACGGAGCTTTCAAGCTCCCATCTTCTCCTTCCTGAGACACTCGAGCCAGAGCCACTGCATCTTGAGCCACGATGCGCTCCAATAGCGCACGCAGGTGCTGTACCTGTTCGACAGCGTCCCCTTTCGCCCCACAGCTCCAGTTGCTCGACGTTGAGCACAATTGACTCGCCAACGATTCTGCACAAACTGCCAGCCGTCTCAGGACGAGTCCACGCTTGTGCTCCTGCTCCAGCGGCGTCTCGTACCCACGTGCTCTAATAAGCGTAAACAGCTGCACCAGCTGCTCGGCATCGTGCTCCTTCACGCCCGGCACCTGCTGCGTCACGTCCACGCCCGTATCCAGAGCCAGCACGCCAGCCAGTCGGCGATACCTTGCAGCAGACGTGGCGTCTGCTGCCCGTGTCAGCTCCAGCTCCGTGACCTCCTCGTCCAGTAGCGCACTGACCGCCCGTGGTCCTTGTGCAATCGACTTCTCCTTATCTTGTACCCCCTTCCTGTCATACTCCAAGTACAGCTCGTGCAATAGCGAAGCCAGTTGCGTCCCGAGCGTCTTGAGGTCCCGCGACAGCTGCGTCTGGAGCTTCCCAGACGGCAGTTTAGCCACCGATTCCTCCAGCAGTGAGTACAGGAACGTCTCGTTGTGCCAGAAGTGCTCGCGTGCGGGCGTCTGCGTCCACTGTTCGAACACGACGCGCGCAAACTGCGTCAAGAAGCGCGTTGTCTTGGTCGCCATCGCCGATAAGTGGCTGGTGACGAGTGAAAAATAAAAGAGAAGAGGATCGAATTGTGCCCATTTATTGGACTCGGATAGTATTAAGTATCGAAGGTAGCGACTGAATAGCGGAACAACGTCAGGCAAGAGATGATTCGACAGAAGTAAGTGGCTTTATTCGAGCGACAATGGTTACTTAGGGGACAGGTGAGCTTACTGACTGTATCTCTCGGTGAATCAAGAGAAGGTGAACTGGCCCCCAGCTCGAGCACGTCAACTTGCTTTGTACTGACCAACTGCATCTTGCTAAAAACACCTATCAACAGTATCTCGCACGTGTAACGGTACCGTCGAGGTGATGAGTTCCCTGCTGACATCCGCCTTCACCTCTACACTCGATCGATGTCTACCATGTACTGCAATGTCGCTTGAACCGGCAGCGACCGTCGTGAGACGTAAGCAGGATAGCAGTATGTTGCCTGCCGCATCTCATGAAACGATGAGCCGTGCACAGTGATGGTACAACTTGATCGCGCTCCAGACTCATAAAAAGATGAACCCTGTCCGCTCGTAGACAATGTACAGCACCGTCGAGATCAGGACTGTAATCCCTGCACCAATCCACATCCTGTCCTGCTTTGCTTGCCACTCCAGCACCTTCAGTCTCTTCCGTACCTCTACGATCTCTGCATTGACGTTACTATACTCGTCATGAGAACTCTTCAAACTCAGCCGCCCATCGTCCAGCACTTTCGTCACAGAGCTGACCCGCTCGATCTCCTGCGACATGACCTGCCGCGTACGCTTCAGTGCCACCGTGACATCCACCACCGAGCCAGAGGAGCCCGCACTGCTGCCGCTTCCTCCTTTATTGACCTTTGTGCCTCGAGTGCTGGAAGGCAAGAGACTCTTGCGCTGCTGCTCGAGCCGCTCGAGCTTGGCCCGATGGCGATAGGCCACCAGCATTTTCCGACACTCAACCACATGTCCCTGCAGCTTCTTTCGATGCATTTTTAGCTCCTGATTGGCTTCAATAGCTTCTTTCGGGCTTGGTAGCTCCTGAATCGAGTCCTGCGCGTCCGAAAAAGCTCGTCGGTACGCCGCAATGCCATCGCTCACCTTCTCCTCGAGCACCTGCTCCTCGTCACCAGTAAAGGTCAAGAGCTGCTTCTCTTGATGCTTCTGGGTTTTGTCTTGATGAAGCGACAGGTTAATCGATACAAAGCGTCTCACGCTGCTGAGCTCAGCGTCTGCCACCCGCAGGTCCTCCATTCGTTAGATTAGGCTGAACAAAAGAGACTGTGCAATTGCAAGACAGTGTGTCGTGTAGCGCAAACCTAGAAAGCACTTGTGAGTAAACGGAGAGTAGCGTGTATAGCTTTATCCGGACAGACCCCCACGTCAATCGTATCAAAGCAATCAGCCGTTTCGACACGAAAATCAGTGACCGAGTCACAATTCCTGGAGTAATAATGTGCTTTTTGCAGAGATTGTTTGAGTGAGCCTAATATAAATGCTTTCTAAACAAAGCGGGAACGCGATCTCCGGAAATCATGCGCCGCATTAATATAAAGTTGCAAGGCGTTGGTGGATCCCATAATGCATGCAAAGAAAGGGCCTCCCAGCGCCAATTCAAAGGGATGCCTATCGATAAAATGCAACTTGAGGAAGGTTAAGGTGAATTAGCAATTGCGACAACAAGAACGCACGTGTCGTCGTTGCATTCCTATCAAATCTGTCGACGAATCAAGTTTCAATAAGCCTTATGAAGCTTCCCTTTCCATCACCAAGTCGGTGCATTGAACTCTAAGTATTCATTGGTACGCATGATGTTATATAAATCATGCGCGATCATCAAGATGGCGCAAGCGACAGTGCTTGAGTCGTTTCCATCGTGACTTGCTTGTTTCGTATATAAAATAGTTGATGCTGCAATCATCACTCGCTTCGAAGGCTAACAGTAGAAGTGACGAAGTTTATGGCTAGTTCAAATGTCTAGCTTATGCAACTATTCTACACTTCTCTTTGTCGATCTTATCAGCGTAGTCGATACTTTGTGTTATGCGCAGTATCTAACACGGTGATGTATACCCTCCAGCAGATCGCGCAGGACCAAAGGCGGTATGCCAATGTACGCGAGAGATAGCGTCGAGCATAACGGACCGTGGGGTCCCATCGGTGCAAGTCTCAGGTGTACACTTCGATGGATGGCATATAATCGTAGTGGAATATTGGCAAGTCCTTTAATCGATTAGCATCATCAGCAGCCATCCACAAAATACGTTGGTGTACGAAAGATGATTCTTACAACAACCTTTGCGGCTATAATGGAAACTCATTACCACATTAGGGTGTCATGGTTGAAACATCGAAAATATGAGACTAGGTCCGAGGCGAACGTGATGTCAAAACATTCTTGTGCCTCAGTATCGACAGAGTGCTGCTTTCGCTCGTAAAGGTACAGAGCTGAAAATTTACAACTGCGAGTCATTAACTAGTGATTGGTGCGCCAACACTATATCGACATCTCGACAGGCGGTTTCACGCCTTCTTTAGCGGTGATGTTTCGTACCGACTAGAAAGAATAATAAGCAAAACCTGGAAAGTTGACTTTTTCTGAACATGATGTTTAATCATTTACCATTTCCACGAGATCACCAACATTGACTAATTTATGAGAAATCCAAATTATTCATTAGAATTAATAATTAAAAAGGAAATTGTTACGCTCACTACTTTTTTTTAATTAGAATCCCTCCCCTTCCCGTTAAGGAAATAGTTGGAATAAAACAAAGTAATTGGACAACTGTAATGTGAAATGTCTGCCTCTTTTCCTATTCACTTCCACATTTACGATGGTGCTTTAATGTGTTCAATTGATATTGCCCTAACTCAATATTATGACATTGGTGCCGTGAAGCCAAAATCCACTGTGGACGTCGTATCGAATAGTGTCATTCTATGTGAAGAAAGAGCGATTTGTATCGGCTGTGCATGTTGTCACAACGATGTGATTGTATCGGCTAGTAAGTTTGACACCCTCCAGATAGGCAAATAGCAGGTCAGTGGTGGTTTCATAGTCAATCGCTGCACCGTTATACATGTACGGCCACTTTTCAAGTTGAGTTTCCATGATAGCTCTCCCTGCAAGTTGTTAGCTTCGTTTATAATACGGTGCGTTCTATAAATGTCAAATTTGTAAAGGTACTACTTTTCCTCATCCTTTATGCTAAAATTGTAATCACCTTGACACTTACAGTGGTCACATTCTTCATCAATTTCAATATGCGTGTCAGTGGGCTTTACGTGGGACAACTGTTTGAGTGAATATGAAGACTCTTGGTGATTAGACCGTTATAGTAATCCGCTTTCATGCTTGATTTTTGAAAAAAATTTCGAGAGAGGAGAAAATGCACTCAAAACGCCAAAATGTTGTCTTTTTCTTCCCTTCTTTTAACGCCAGGCACATTTGCACCTTTCATGAATACTTCTAAGTGTTCAATTTTTGCTGGCAGCCAAACTTTTGATGTTTTCTTTTGGACAAGAGAACACTTATTTGGTACACATGCTTTCCTTCCAGATTATATATTATTTCAAGATGAAAAAGCATGCTTAATGTATATATTCCCTCAGTGATTACAGGACGGTTGGTTATAAATTTGATGATACTTACATTCTGATTCTCGAAAGTAAATATTAATCGAATAGAAATCGGACACAAACGTCACGTCAAAATGATCGATCAAGTGTGTTGCTTTGATTTCTACTCAACGCAGAAAAGAAAGTGAGTCTAGCAACTCTCTTCCTTGTACTTAATGCTCAGGCATACAAACTATGAACGGGGATGTACACTGTAGCGGGGTAGCCCGTTACATGATATTGACACCAAACGGTGTCAATAGGAAGATTGCCTAGCGTGACAATCTTCTGTCCATATCACCTGAAATAGATAATATTGAAAGGGTATTATACCTTCAATAACATTCACATGCGGATCGAAGATTGGTTGATATAAGACATGTCAACCGTAGATTTCCACCAATCGCTGCTAGACGCGCGCAATGAGTGGTGGGCAAGTCGTCGTCATACGACGACGTAGTTTAATATAGTTAGATAAAGATTAACGTTATATTGATAGCTTAACTTTATTAAATACGGTTCTCTTTTTACCTTTACTTGATCGAGTCGTTCAAGTAGTTTAGCTTTCTCTGCACGTACTAGTGTACGTGAAGTTTCGCGGCACCCTAAACGAAGGTTGCCCCGTTGCACCTGGTAGCACTTAGTAGCCCGTCCAACGACTACTTAGTGTACGTCTAACATGAACATGTTGGACGTCGAAGACGACAGCTTTCACGTCAAAAGTGAAGGCTACTCCCATCTGAGTGACTCAGAACGGGAGATAGTCGTCTGCATGAGTGTATTCATGGGCGAACCCGCCATTAGTGGCATGTTGGAGTCTCTGAACAGAGACCAGTAACATGCTGCTATCGACAAGTTCCTACAAGGCGAACTTGCCGTCGAAAGACAGAAGATGGCCATGCTACAACAGCAAGGCTCTCATCGATCGATAAGCGGGCCGAGGCACGCGCGTCAACCCGAAACCTTTGAAGATATACATCTCAAGGTAGAAGAGAACTGATAAAGGCTTCCCTTTTGAAATGGTTAGTCGATTTATATGACTCTATAAAGGCCTGTTGTTGGAAAGAGGAGAGTGTTTGTATGTACTGCGTCGTTGCATAACAGGTGACAGACGATGGGTCGCAGGATGCGAAGAGTCGCTTGAAGCTGCGAGTAAGATTTGCACAAGTGGGCGCAGTAGCTAGCGTGAGTACGATGGTAATACACAGTCTGAAAAACAACCACATTCGCGCACTTGTCTCTTACACGCACACTGATGCAAAGTCGACAGGTTATGAGCCCAAGTAAGGGCAACAGTTTGCGAAGTCCGTCTTACGCGCTGCGGCAGCGTCGATGGCGAGGCGTCGCAAAACGCAACATGCCGCGCAGACTCCGCCAGCTGGGTCAAGTGACCACAGCTGCGAAGGCATGCGGCTGGAGCTTGCTCTTGTGATGGAGCAACAGGCGGCAATGGTCACGCGGCTCGAGGAGCTAAAGCGAGAAAGGCTCGATCTGCCACGACTAACAGGTGACACGTTCGGGCCGGCCGACACGACGAGATAAAGAGCGATCGTCCCGGCGTTGAGACCAACAGCAACGTTCCGATCACCGTCCATGCGGATGAAGCACGTGCGTCTGATGGAGCACTATGATCGACACGACTTGTTTAATGCGGAGTCCCACGCGACGCGAGCGTAAGGACAGAACGTCGAGCGCTGCGACAAGAGTAGGAGTAGCACTACCAGGAATTCGCCGCAGCACGCGAGGGTTTGCGAGAAGAAGCAGAAGCTCAAGGCATGCAGCTGAGAGCGGTTGCAGAAGCGCACGAGGCGCGACGAGCGGAGGAGCGGGCCGCGTTAGAAACAGCGCAAGGGAAACTTTATCAAAGATGGACACCAACAGCAGAGTGAACCCGAACTCCACAGACGAGAGCAGGAAGCACTGTCAGAGCAAGTAGAAGCGCAACGTCAAGAGCTCGCGCACTTTGAAGCGCGACTAAGACAAGAACGAGAGGAACTGGCATTGCAGCACGCGCGGCAGGATCAATCATTTCATGAGAGGGATCAGAGTCTCTTCCGACGAAAGCAGGAGGTCGCGAGCGAACAGGATCTCCAGCAACAGAGACAAGTGGCGCTCAGCGAACAAGTGAAAGCTGCAAAAAACGCGCACAGCGCTCGCGAAGCAGTACTCATTTAAGAAGCCCGACGAGTGTCAGATGTGCAACGAGCTCAGGAAGAGCGGATCAACAATGACGCACGACGCATCGGCGAGCAGCAGGCAAACGCTGGGCGAGCGTGGCAGCAAGTGCAATTCAACGCAGCTAAGGTCGAGAAGCGCGTACGGAAAGCCGAAGATAAGGGCTATGCGCGAGCGACGAGGGAAGCAGCTGCACGTGCAGCGGTAGCGACTTTGAGTTAACCACCGAGGCAGGAGAATCTGCAGCTTCCGACGGCGAGCACAACGATCACACAGATGGACGTGACGATGAAAGATCCTTCACGCGAAAGACTTAAAGCTGAACATACGTGTGTTCACCGGCAAAGAGTTGCACAAGGGCCTTGGTGCGGCATTTAAGCACTGGGTTGAATTCGTCACATTATACTTTTTACGGCATCTCCCAGATATTTTGTTGGTGGAAGGCATGGTTATTCAGCTGTTCACCCGTTACCAATTCCGGTTTCGGCCCCCGAGGGGTTCGAACCCGCAATCAGCGACTTGGAAGTCAGCTTACTGCGCCACTACACCAGGGGAGCATTTAAGCACTGGGACCGTGCGTTCCATGAAAAACTCGAGATGGCGCAAGAGGCGTGCGGCCACGCTTGGCTTGAGAAGTGCAAGATCTCGAAACTCGGCTCGTACTTGCGTGCCGAAGCGGACGAGGTCTTTCACGGCTTCAGATACAAGTGGTGGTCGACGGAGAAGACGCTCGCCTACGCGATGGAAGACATGGAGAGCGCATTCTCTCGGACTTTTACCAGCGCGCAAGTGGATGAGTTCTTTGGCCGGCGCAAGCCAGCGACCGAGTCGTGGCACAGCCAATATCTGTACTTGATGGCGGTCAGGAACGCGACAGGAGCATCGGCATCGCCCGTTCCCTAAAGTCTCGTAATGCACGCGAGTCCAGGGATGCGGCCCATGCTCGCGAGCCAGTATGATCGGAAGAGGTCGGACTACGTAGTACATGCTTCGGAGATTGCGCTCTGGGCACAGACGTACGAGAATAAAAAAAATTGTGCGCCAGGTCAAGCGAAAAATTTCGTAGCGTCGGCTATGACGGCAAACGCTACCACAGACACGAGGATCTGTAACATCTGCAGTGTCGTCGGCCACATCGCTCGTATCTGTCCGACGAAAGCGAAGGACGAAAACGACGACGGCGAGGTGCGATGAGGGTTCTTTGGGCTGGTGTCCGGAAGCTTTACCAACGACGACTGGATCGTCGATTTCAGCGCTAGCGCACATCTCGTCAAAGAAAGGTCCATGCTGTACTCCTGGCACGTTCGCGATGACCCGCACGGCGTAACTTTCCCTGACAAGAGCCATTTCAAGTGACGCGCAAAGGCAAAGCGAAGATCTGGATAAACGTGGATGGAGACGTGTCCTGGATCGAGCTATGGAACGTGTGCCTTGCACCGAAGCTCTCGATCAATACCATATCGCTAGGAACTTTGTTGTTGCAAGGGTGCATTTTACGAGTGCACGCAACAGGCACGCGATTGCGTACGGGAGCAGCGTCGTGATGTACGTGCACATCAAGCAAAATATGCTGGTAGTTGATCGCGGCGTCGAGAAGGAGAAACTGAGTGGCTTAAAGGATGTGATACTGAATGCGATCAACGAGTTATAGCCTCCTGACATCACGCTGCAGAGAGCCAGTTTGATGTTGTTCCATCGCCGGTTTGAAAACCCTTACTCTACGAAGATGTCGAACGCTTGGCCGCCAATCGCGCCAACGGCATTGAGCTCACCGATCATGTCCGTGAGAACTACATCGCATGCATAGAGGGCAAGCAGACGAAAACCGCGCAACCGAAGAAAGACAGCGGACACAATGCATTAATCGACGTCGTCGGTGGTGTCTTTTGCAGTGACTTTAAAGTTACGATTGTGACAAAGGACAAGCAAAAAATCGGTACCTGATAAACTTCGTGGATCACAAATTAAATTACGTTCGAGTGTTCGTTGCCAAGACGAAGGACCAGGCAGCGAAGCAGTTTCAACACTTCACGATGTTCTTGGAGAGGCAGTTTAATGTATGCGTACACATCCTGAGGACGGACGGAGGAGGCAAGTATCTCAACCTTGACCTCGTCTGCCAGAAGACCGGCATTGGGCGTCAGACGACAGAGCGCAACTCGTCCGCATCCGATAAGAAAGCAGAGAGTATGCTCAGGACCGTGATATTTATGGTTCGGCGCATTCTCTTTGGGTGCTAGCTGTCGCTTGGGTACTGGGGCTGCGCCGCCGAGTACGCCGCGTACGTTTTAAACAGGATGCCGACTCGAGCCAACGCCGGGCGAAGGTCGCCACAGGAGGTGTTCACAAAGAATCCAGTAAGCGTTGCAGATGTTGTCGTGTTCGGATCTCCGTGTCGCGTCTACACGTCACCTGCGAACGCGTAGCTGGGCAAAAGAGGGACTGAAGAAGTGATTGTGGGGAAAAACGACAAAAAGTTAGAATACAAAGTGCTGATTCCAAGCAAACAGGTCGTTGTTACCACAACACACGTTAACAACATCAAGACGCTCACTGCCGAGTCGAACAAGAAACTGCGTCGAGTACCTGAGTCCAAAGAAGGTGACGAGCTCAAGGCTTTTGTACGTGAGAGGCAACGAGAGCGCGGCCGCGTAGAGCCAAGTCGAGGCGACGCGAAGACTCCAAGAGTCAGCGATACGTCAGCGTCCACGTCAACGCGTCCGACATCGAAGATGCAAAGCGAAAGTAAACGACTGAAGGAGCTTGACCGCAACGATGTCGGAGACTTAGCAAAGACAGCGCAACGTCGAAAAGTCCAGTACGTGATCGCGACGCGAGCGTTACGCAAGCTGATATGGCGTCCGGCTAACCGAAGCATCATGCGCACGCGAATCCAAGGTCAACAGTACAAGACAACCGAGCAGTGCGCACCGACAAGACACAAGACGATGCGTCGAACGACGAGAGCGAGGTCGAGGTGCTACCGAGAAAGTCAGCACGGGCACGCAAAACGTCAGTCAAGCAGCGTGAAGATGACGATGCAAACGCCTCAGTACCCAGCAACGCACCAAAGCAACGAGCGCACACGACGATCGCAGCGTCAATGCTCGTGCCGCTAGCGACGACGACGTTAGTGGCAGGGGACGAGAATGTGGCATTACCAGACCAAAGACGTATCGAGCGGCGATCAAATCGCCTGATGCGCACCTGTGGAAAGTGGCGTGCGCAGAAGAGGTTGCATCACTTGCGGCAGACAAAATGTGGAAATTAGTCGCAAAGCTGAAGCACATGAACCTACTACGTTCGAAGTGGGTAATGCGAAAGAAGAAGGACGTCAACAAGGCCATCGAGCGCTGCAAGGGTGGCATTCCGCCGGCGGCGACGATCAAGTACTGAGTCATGACTACAACCTCACGTTGTTGGCCGTACTCGACATCACCAGCAGGAAGGTGAAATTGGAAGTTTCTCGCATGTGGGGTGTCCCTGCAAGGCACTATGACGTCCCATCAGCTTACTTGAAGGCCTATAATGAAGATGGCGTTGAGATCTATTTAAGAGTACCTAGGGGCATGCAACTAACCAGCGAAGAGCTCGCGTGTGTTGGTGCGCAGAACAGTGGAGACGTGTGCTTGCGCCTTATTAAGTCGCATTACGGCTTAAAGCAAGCCGGCCGGTTGTGGAATCAACTGTTGCACAAGACGTTAGCGGACGTCAGATACGAGCAGCAATGACCGACTCATGCGTGTACTTCAGGACAACAAATGAAGGTACAGTGAAAGCAAGAACGTACGTACGTGTGTGGACGACTTTTTAGCGGCTGCGACAAGCGAAAAGCTGCTAGACGATTTCGGCATTGCGAAGAAGTCGCTCGAGCTCAAGTGCCTGGGATCCGCTAAACACTTTCTAGGAATGCGGATCAGCTACACAGCCAATGCCAAGTACGCGATAGATCAGGAACAGACCATTGTTGAACTGCTGCATGATCACGGCATGGAATCGTCCAACGCTGTTCGAGCGCCGATCGCCGACGAGTCGTCGCTGCAGTCGGAGAGCACGAGCGCACAATTGCTGCCTCCCGCAGGATCGTGCAGCGCGGAACGACCGACCGTGCAGTGGTTCCAATCGCTTGTAGTCAGTCCCTCTGGATTGCGCGATGCAGTTGACCTGACATCGCGTATGCGGTACACAGGGCGACACACGTCAAATCCACGCGCCAACAGAAAACGACCTAAAAATTGAAAGACAAATTTTGCGGTACCTTTCCGGGATTGCGAGCTTGAAGCTGACGATGGAAGGAGATGTGACGATGAGCAACATGCGCGTGAAGACAGGAGGAACTTTGACGAAGAACGGCGTGCGGGTGTCGTGCTGTACGGACTCGGACTACGCTGCTGACATAGCAACACGCAAGTCAATCAGTGGCGCAATCGTGTTCGTGGGTGGCATGCCTGTGGCGTGGCAAGTGAAGCAGCAATCGGCCGTGGCGCTGTCCACAGCCGAGGATGAATTCGTGGCAGCCGCTGTGGGTGTCAAGGATCTGCTTGGCGTGCGCACCCTTTTGGAAGAGGTTGGCGTGCAGATCGAGCTGCCAATGAAGGCGCTTGTCAACAAATAGGCTGCAATCAAGCAACTAGCGAACAAGGTGACGTCAAGGGCGCAAAAGCACATCGATATTGAAGTCAAGTTCTTGCGAGACGTAGTTGAGTTGGGAATGGTGAGTGCAGAGTACGTACCGACAGACGCGATGTTGGCTGACGTACTCACGAAGAGCTTGGTGGCGCCGCGGATGCTGACTCTTCGAGAGAAGATAGGGCTGTTGTAACACCGACACAGCGGGAGGAGTGATGGAAGGAGGAGAGTGTTTGTTTGCACTGCTTCGTTGCATAACAGGTGACAGACGATGGATCGCAGGATGCAAAGGGTCGCTTGAAGCTGCGAGTGAGATTTGCACAAGTGGGCGCAGTAGTTAGCGTGAGCACGATGGTAATACACAGCCTGCAAACCAACCACATCCGCGCTCTTGTCTCTTACACGTATACTGATGCAAATCAACACCTGTCACATCGAGGATGACGAGATGCAAGTCACCTTCACCCTGTCGAATTGACAAGACGAGCAAGGACTTGGGCCTTATGGCTCAAGCTTCACAAACCAGATGCATTTAAGCCATTAGAGATCTTAAAGGCTCAGCTCAAAGAGACGTTTGAGCCGCCGAGAGCCGAGTTCAGAGCACGCTCTGCACTCTTAAGGCTAAAGAAAGGTAAGCGTGACGTGCGCGCTTACGCACAACACCTGCGCTACCTTGCGAGTGGCGTTACGGAAAACCCTGTTGATGAGCACACGCTCAGCTACGTGTTCATCTATGGCCTTATATATGTACCGGTCAAGACCTGCATGTTCCAAGAGGACTTCCATACGCTGGAAAAGGCGATAGCGTATGCGGAAAAAGAAAACTTTAGCCTGAGACAGTCTCAGGATAACTCGTCAAAATACCGTCCGATGAGACGACAGGCAACAGGAGGTCCCGAACCAATGGACTTCTGTTACATCGAGAGCGAGAACTCTCGCTGTCTGAGTCACAAGCAAACGGCAAGATGCTATCGCTGTCAGAAGATTGGACACTACGCTAATGATTGTAGTGTCCCAAGCACCGCATCACGTCTAAAGAGAGGACGTGATGACCGCCGTTGGACAAGGAAAGGTCCGAGGCGTGGGTCCGACCATGTCGCTAAGCCGCGACAGCAAGTCGGACGTCAATAAACGGACAGGGTCAGTAGGGGCGGAGCACCCTGCTGATCCAGCGACGCCAAGAGAATTTGCAGGACTCTTGACGAAGATTGCTTCCAACACACATTCGCGGTATGTTACTGCCCCTACTGATGAGGATTCCCTCATCACTTTAAAGATCGAAGTGACCAGTGAAATGTCACTTCGCGCCCTAGTTGACTGTGGGGCGTCGAACAGTTTTATTCGACGCCAGTCGCTAGGGGATAGTAGGCTCTGCTATGTTGAGAGAGAGTTCCCTCCAACGAGTATGACGGTGTGCCTTGCTACATGCGCATCCGTAACAGTGAACAAACGTGTAGTGGGAATACACTATACGCTAGAAGGAAAGCGTAACGATGATGACATCATCATATTAGATTTGGATGACAAATTTGATGTCATCTGCCATGGCATAGAAGATACGAGCCATGAATCAGCTGGCAGCGTCGATCCGTTAAGATGCCTGCCGTTTGTTCATCGGATGGCCATCTGATGAATGTCTTGGAGCATTCACAAGCGTGTGGATGTACTACAAGTGAGTGCGATGGCCTCACTTGTGGTACGTTCGTTAGTACGATTGCACAAGATCACAGTGTAGAAGGACACTGCCCTGTGGAACCAGCTTCTGGCACCTGTGTAGAGACATAGGCCGCGCCGAAGGTTTACCACTCGGAGAGATCGAGTGGACTGAAACACGGATGCACACCAAGAAGGGTGCATCCAAGAAGAGCAATTAGTGTTGTTCAGGATGAACAACACGTTAAAGCGAGATCGACTATCAGAGAGTCGATCGCAAAGAAAACACGATCGAATGAATGAGAGTTGATCAAAGAGGACATGACTATGGTAGTGCACCCACAGTCAGAACACGTGTTGGAAGAAATTTCCAGCGTTCCTGAGAGTGATAACTCCCGAGAGGGTTATGTTGATGGTGTGGATCCCCAACCACCTGCGGATGTGTTTTCCCAGAAAAGCACTGATACTCTAAATGTCTTGGTGTGTGAAGGATCAAGTGTAGGTGTGTAGAAGCGCGAAGGAAGAATGACAGAAGTGTGGATCGCGCGATCCGCCTTAAGTACGAAAATCAGTTTGATTGGTGGAGCGCGTACGGAGATGGGCCCGTTGGCACGGATGATGGTGTCACACGGCTGAGTGACAGGAAATGACCGTGGAAATTATGCAGAGAAACCCACTTAACGGTCACAGAGGGATAAAGGTCAAGTGGATTGTGTCATGATGATCGAGGTAGATTACGTACTCACCGTGGATCACACACCGCGATCCGGTGCTCCGCAATCCAGTATGGGGCAATCCACTATGGATTATCTGCTATGGACCACAGGATGTAAGAGGTGAATGACATAGACAGCCGACCTAGCGAAAAGATAGGCATAGTCGTAAGTTGGAGGTTTGGTTGGTTGACATTAAACAGAGTTGAATTTGCAACGAAAGACACGCGTCGACTTCTCCCGGGCAGGATCTTTGGCCTCCCGTTGAATAGCGAGTCATTCACGTCTCAAGTGAACTACGCCCTTGGATTGTTTGGCCAGGCGTAAGGTCAATTCTCACCCCCCCTCACCTGCGATAGGACGCAGAAAACCGTACGGTTAAGATTCAAGATCGCGAGACGACTCAAGTGGTCAGAAGGCTCGCGTGTCAAGCATCAACCCTGGCAAAGGCGACTCTGGGAGAGCGCCCAAGTTACAAGCGATCAAGTGAAGAATTTCTACGCGATCCACACCTACGTTGACCGGGTGAAGTAATTCCACTCGATCAACACCTATCCCTAAGACAGTCGAGTTCAGCTTCAGCTCAAGTTCACCAAGAAGAGCGCAAACCCGCCCCACCGACGGGTACACAAGGTGAGCAAGAACATACAGAAAACGGAATTGGGGTACCTCCTCCGTTAGCCAGTCGTCCGGGCGCCAATGGAGAATCGGGATCGTCTCAGGAAATGAGCTATCGCCACTCCACCACGACGGTGCGCGTGCCCGGATTCGAACCAGGAATTTCACCGTGATTCCCTGAGCGAAGAAGTGAAGATAAATGCTGAGCCTGAGATAGAAGCGTCAGCGAAAGAGAGGTCGTCGCAGACACACGAAAATAAAGGATCTCCAGACCGTCAAATTTATTGGGAGGGGCTTTGATGAAGAGAAAATAAAAGAGGAAGATCGATTTCACGATCTGGAAGAAAAACCCCAACTCCCTCCTGATGCCCCTTCGGGGGCCACCGCGGATCGCACTGAAAAGCGCGAGCCGCAGGTGAAAGTCCTAGGGGAATCCCCAAGCGATGTTCGTTCATATTAGATGAACCATCAGAGATGATGAAGAGAGAAACAAGATGTTCGGAAGACTATAAGAAGTTGGCGGAAGCGAAAGAAGATCGAGATGTTGACAAGAACAAGCCAGCCAGATGCCAGGTCAAGACGGAGACAATGGATCAAGGCTTTAAGTCAGTGGATCGCGAAGTAAAGTTTAAACATTGGCAATTCGACGATCTCAGCAGGGAGTACCACCTGAAGGAGCTGAAGAAGCTGCTGTCGACCGATCCAGTAATCAAGATGATCAAGTCGAAGCTGACCGGATTGCTACGCGGACCGATAACAGCGCCCAAACCAATCCCTAACGTGTTGGAGGCGGTCCGGCGTCTAAATCAATCTGCTAACGGAGGCGGGGTTTACGGCTGGAACGTTCAACGCACAAATTCTACTAGAATGCAACCACGATCGAGTGATCACTGCCGGCCAGACGCTGTTTAAGACGTTGAGTCCGCTTCTAGGCATACGTGACCCCGGAAAACAACCCGGCCCCGCCGATGGCCCCCTCAGATCAACAGATCACGCCGCGGATTACGATGGATCAAGTCCTCACGCCGATAAACGATTCCCCCAAGAGTGAACACACTGGATCATCTCGATACGCTTCAGCGAATCGGAAGAGGACTCGAACGATTCATTTGAGATCCAACGGATGTCGCTAGGACCAAAGGGCGCGGATCTGTTGCGGAAGACATCTGGACGGAATGCGGCAGAAGCACAAGCGGGAAAGCCATGAGCAACGCATCTTATGAACATGGGGGATTCAGAACGAGTGAATTCTTATTTTCGAGCAGCCATGAAGAAATACTAGCTAGAACAGGTTACCTGAACGCTGGACAATCAGTTAATCGCCATCCCGAACTGGAGATCCGCATGTACATTGACATGGAGTCAATTGGATCGCGTCTTAATGGATCGCATGAAAATGGTCATGAGCATCGGGAGCAAGGAGACAAGAGAACACAGCAGGTGGAAACGGCAGGAGCGGCAGACAGTAGCGGATTTGGTAATTAAAGGATTCGAATGTCTGCCATGGCCGAACTGAAAGAATTCTCCGGCCGAGAGAAGAATGAAGAACGGGCCAGGAACTGGTTCAGTAAGGTGAAGTCGGCGTTCCTACGCGATCAAGCGCCAGAATTGGAGAAGTGCTTAGTGTTCAGCGATATTCATACGGGACCGGCGCGTGACTGGTAAACCAGCTTAGACGCTCCACGAGGACTTCGTGGAAGGCACTCCTGGAAAGCTTCATTGCAATGTACGGAGATAGAATAGTGTTTCAGTTGAGAGACTCTATTATAATACGCGTAAGCGATCGAACGAGACTCCATTGGAGTACTCGTACCGTCTGAATGTGGCCGCGATCCGGGAGAAGATCCCGATAAGAAATGGATCGCCCGCCACTCGCAAGGAACATGTAAATCATTGCATTGGTACCCTGGACGATCACGATCTGGCTAAAATGCTAACGATGCTACGTCTTGGATATGCAGGTGATCTGGAAGAAACGCTGCAAGAACGTGAGAACATGGAGGTTCGAGAAACCCATGCCTCTGTGGGGTCGAGAAAATTTGGATAGCGTGTTGCGCCACAGGAGGTCCAAGTTCTAGCAAAACCAGCGCGAGCTGTGAGAGCAATCCATGTGGATAACGAGAGTAGCGGGTCTGACAGAGACTCTTGCAGATCGGACTCCGACTCGGATCGACGCAACGGGTATAAGGCCACGGCTACGGATCGCGCTCAGAAGCCGGATCGGCGCAATGTGTTCATAGCTACCGCTGCGAATCGCGATCAGAACTCGGGAGACCCACTCATTCGAAGTGAGCAAGTCGATCGCAATTGCCACTACGATCGTGGAAGGCCTCAAACAGTGTGTACGCACTGTGGGTCGAAGAGACATGACGATCGCGGATGTCGGAAAAGACTTACGTGTCAGAAGTTCGGACGTAAGGGGCATCCTGCGGTCGAATGCTAATACGTGAGTTCCGTATGCAATGACGTCCACGAGGAAGAAAAGTGCCCGATAGAACCATTTTAACAACATGATCCGTCAGTGGTGTGTGCCTACCAAGCATGCAGGGATGTTGCCGGAACAAGCCGAGAAGATGCTAAATCAGGACGCTCGCCAGGTTGGAATCTGGTACGAGCCGAGCGTTCTAGGCTCTGCGTATATGCATTTGTGCAGAGGAAGAGTGTCGACAGAAGCGAGGACAAGCAGGATGGTCGGCAAAATACATGTGATTTTTTTAAACTGTCTGCGTTCCATTTCGAGTGCTAGAAGACATGATGAGTAAGCCCGATCGCCCACCAAGATGGAACTTGTCCTAGCGCCGGGTGAGTCAAGGGGATACTGGAAATACCATACACCAGGAAAATGGCTTAAGCAAGCTAAAGTGGTTTGGAAGGCTAACAACGAAAAGGCCACAATGCTAATGGACTCAGGAGCTGAAATCTCGATCGTGGACACCTCCTTTGCTCTTAAGGTAGGATGTGTCGCTGACGAGAATCAGAAACAAGAGTGTGTGGGGATAGCTGAAAATACGTACATTACCGAAGGACGTAGCAAGATCAAGATCACCCTAAATGGATTTCTGTTATACTATTTTGACGTGTGGGTGGGTGATCAAGTCGGTCAAGAGGTGATCCTGGGTATGGACTTCATGGTGCCCGCAGATCAACGTCTGGATTTGGCTGACGGGACGCTGGTTTTGTCAGATGAAGTGAGGATTCATCTAGCAGGACGCAGACCTCTGTACGGATCATCCATGCAGCCGATCGTGATCCCAGAACATCACTTGGTGCTGCCGGTGGTTAGATCGGCGGAGACAAGAATGTAACGTCCAGTCTAATACCAAAGTCGGGGTGAGGCGCGATCCTACATGGGCACCCACCGTAACCACTGGAGAAGGTCGGACCAGGTATTTGCAGCTGACAAACCTCGGCGACAAAGAAATGATTATCGGCCACGGACTGGCTTTAGGCTGGATTATGGCTGCCGACATGGTACCTCGATACCCAGGATACGTCTCGTTCGAATCACGATGGTTCAACGAGTGGCAGACACTAGCCTATGAAGCTACGACTGAAAGAGAGGAAGAAGTGCCGACCGCATACGCGTGACCGCTTGTAGATCACCCGACCTACCCTACGCCAAAGAAAGTTTTAAGTCGGGCTACGAGGAGTAATGCATCAATGTATCAAAAGACAGCCCGATCGTAGACGAGAAAGTGATTCCAAGTGTGGACCCACTGCCACGTGTCGTTAACACGATCGAGGAGAAGGGCGGAAGCGTTCGAACACCCGGGGGGCCAATGGCAGATGTCGCGACGAAAAAGGACAGAGATTCCAACAGATCGCATGACGGATCGAATGACATGATCGACGATCGACAAGTGTAAAACGATCGACAAGTGTCTGGTCCGTGGTTCATACGATTCAAGAACATTCGACGAACGAAGTATCAGGGGATCAGTCGAGGAAAGAGGCCGGATCTTCACCAGGTGTGACAATCGACGATGAGCCTGATCCGGGTAGTGACCGTATCGAGAGAAATTGGACGTCGCTACCTGTAGTCATGAAAGTGGGGAGTTGTATGCTGAGGATGTAAATCATCACATGGAGGTACCACCCGCCATTGTTACACCCACTGCCGAAGTTGCGATCGACGATATTCAGGTAGGCGGTCCAGATGTACCGTTGACTGATGACCAAGAACGATTACGACAACTGATCTGGAGAAACAAGCACCTTCTTATTGGTAAAGGAAACGCACTCCCTCCAGCCGCACGAGGGGCGACATGCGATATTGGCGTGCGAGGAGCGAGCCCGATCGCGCAAAGAGTACGGCCAGTAGCACCCAAGCTTCGCAAAAAATTAGCGGATTTGATTAAAGGGCTGCTCTCGGCCAAGATTATTCGACCTTCGACATCACCTTGGGCCTCGCCGATCGTCGTTATTATCAAAAGAAGGGCGAGGACGTTCGATTGTGCATCGACTATCGACGGGTAAATCAGTTGATAAGGCTGATAATGTACTCAATGCCACTGATCAATGAAATTGTACTAGACATGGACAAAGCGATGTGGTACTGCTCACTGGACATGGCAAGCGGATTTTGGGTGGTGGAGATGACAGAACGAGCAAGAAGGATTTCAGCATTTATTACGCCGTCAGGCTTGGATGAATGGCTACGGATGCCGTTTGGGTTGGTAAACGCTCCACAGATTTACCAACGCCTGATCGACAATGCACTATATGGATATATGAAGATCGGTGCTGATCCGGGCGCTTCCTCTACGAAATCGTCCAAACAGATCGACGTGTTCACAGAAGGAGAGCCAGACACCAGTCGGACACCATCTTTGCTAGGTCGAAGATCGTACATCGATGACATACTAATTCCAGCTACATCGTGGGCCGATTTGTACGACAGAGTGGATAGATTGCTACGTGCATGCGATAAGTGGAATTTGTCGATCAGCCTAACCAAACGTTTTTGGGGACGACGCGAGGTGGACTATCTCGGTCATCAAGTATCACTCGCTGGATTGGAAGCCCACCCGAATAATCTCGGATCGCTGGTCAAAATTCCGTTTCCTCGAACGCTGGGGTCGATACAGTCGTTTTTAGGGAGTTTAAATTACTACAGCCGATTCATTGAAGACTTTGCGATACACGCATCAGTGCTATACGAATTACGCAAAGCCGACTTCCACGAGATCCGACGTATGAATAATGCGGAGTCGTAGACACGTAATGGAAAGAGAGCTGACGACATGAAGTGTCTTGGTGATCACGATCCAAACCGTAACAGTGTTACAGGGGGCCACACAGCGTTTTCCGGTGTTGCTGGGGACGATCCTACTTGCACAGACGGAAGTCGATGGGAGAAGGCGATGATTTCGTTCACTTTGGTGAAGGATAAGATTGCTAAGTTTCCAATTTTTAAACATTTTGATTCGGATCGCCCTCCAGTGATCGTGGTCTATGCTAGCATATGGGCAGTATCTGCAGCTTTGCTACGGGAACACGATGGAGTATGCTGGCCTGTAACGTTCACTAGCAGAACGCTAAAACCTAACGAGATTAACTATGGAATGGTGAAGAAAGAAGTTTTTAGCTCTGCTGCGCATCCTAGATATCGACTAAACTATGTTACTTGCACGAGAGATCACGGTACTCACACGTCATTCAACGTTGGCCTGGCTGGTACAATCTTCAGACCTTAATGGGAGGATGGGGAGATGGGAGGCGTTGCTATCAAATGGGACGATAGAGATCAAGAAATGTGAAAAGGAAGAAGATGAAATGCTTGGCACGCTTGCCACCAGCATTACCCCGCGCGAAGGTGTTGACCAGATGTTGATCGCGATCGCCCCGAGGAAACAGCCGAAACATACCATACGTATGCCACCACCAACGGTGCAGGATGGTAAAAGTCTTCAGATGGTCAGTTTCAATGGATCTGCCCGAACCAGAAAAAAAGGCGCGGCGTATAGTGCAATAGTGTGGAAACTCCCAGGAATGGAAGATCGTGAATGTTGCAGCCGAATACGCAACAGATCTGACAGTAAACGAAGCCGAATATCGTGGCCTGCTACTAGGTTTCGATCTCCTGGCCAATCAGGCGCGGGGGCGCATCATCATTCGCGGCAATTTTAACTTAGTGATCCGGCAGATGCGCGGAGAAATTGACTGCAAGGCGCCCGGATCACAGCTGCTACGTCACAAAGCTATGGAAAAACTCCAATCGTGGCCGATCCATTAATTTTTGCACTTGAAGAGGGACTGGAATTAGAGTGCCGATCGACTGGCAAGCAACGCTTTACAACAAGAGAAAGGCACGATGACTGTATCCGATCAAAATCGTCAGAATTTTCATTCATTGAACCGGTTGGATGAGCTATTGACACCCAAAAGTGTCGATCAGGTCGTGAAAATATCTGCCGTTACTAGATCATCCGTAAGGAGACACCGATCACCTGAAGTAATGCAATATTAATCGTTCAGAGAATCAGAATCTAGAGGATCAAGCAAGCACAGGAAGAAGAGAGTTGGATCGCCAACCTGAAGGAATTCCTGATCGGAGACATACGAAATTGAGAATTGAAGAAGCAAAGTTATGTTCTCGGATCGCGCTCGATTATGAAGTTGACGAAAGCGTACTACTGTTTTATGCCCGCTATCGACATAAGATCCAGATAGCCGCGTGAAATTGATTCGTTTGGTGGTACCGGAACTACTGCAGCAAGATTTCCTACATCACTGTCATACAAGTTTGGAGGGCGGACACCAAAGAATCAGCAGAACATGCCAACGAATCCGGTTCAAGTTCCACTGGAGAGGACTCTATCGAAGTGTCCAGCGTTATTTGGGAGGACTTGTGGATTGCACGACGGCAAAAGGTGAACCTGTCCTGCGCAGCAAATCGCCGGTGAATTTTCAAGCCACCTATCCGTTTTAGATAATCGATTTGGATCACATTCCATCGTTGCTGCGATCTTTCAAGGGAAACAATGAGTTGTTGCTGTGAGTAGACCTGTTCTCAGGGTACGTAATCGCCAAGGCGAGTTCCTCCAGAACTGCTTAAACGATCACCGAAAGTTACGAGAGTGTGTATTTCGAAGATTTGGAACCAGTAAAGCGATTCGCCATGATCGAGAGCCCGTATTCATGTCCTTTTTTTCCGAGCGTTCAATCGGATCGCGGGGCAGAAACATCGTGCTACTATGGCATACCGACCTTAGACAAATGGAACAGCAGAAAGAATGGTGCAGACCTTGACGAGGGCGGTAATTATGTACGTTACAGATACAGATCAGAAGAATAGGGACGAATACGCTGAGAGATTGATCGTTCGCCATCAATACGGCACAGGATCGCATACGAGGAGATAAGCCATTCTACTAGATCCACGGTTGGACCCACGATCGACGCTGGAAGCGAATTTGCCTTTGGGAAGCACCAAACGACGAAGCCAAGATCCAAGGAGATGGCGTTAACAAATATAACGTCATTACCAGAGAGAAAGAGAAGCCGTTAACGATCGTCTACGGATTGCGATCCAAGATCGGGCCGATCGACACAACGCTGAGGACGGATCACATGAGATCGAAGTTGGATCGCAAGTGTGGCTCTATTTAGATGGAGTGAAAGAAGGAAACGCCCGAAAGCTGGCACATATGTGGCATGGACCATTCCGGCTAACGAACTATGTGGGAGACATGCATAACGGTTGGAGATCTCGGATACACCGTATCGATTATTCCCGTAGGTACATATATCCAAGCTTAAGCGGGTGAAAACCTTCCCGGATCGGCCAAAAAACTTGTTGAACGTTGAAGAGGCGGATTGCGTGGATTTTGACGAATCCCTCTTGCCGAAAGATAGCTGGGAACGCACATTGGATGAAGATGAATTTGAAGTCGAGAAGATATTGGATGTGCGATCAGGTAGACAGGCCCGTTTTGGTAGAGTGAAGCGCCAGTATTTGTTGCAATGGAAGGGATCGGTCGATTCGACTTAAATAGATGAGGTCGACTTGAACTGTGGGGCCTTGCTGCAAGAGTTGATCGCGATCAAGTCAGCAAGAATCGCTTCGAGGTGATGCAATCACACGAAGCAGCTGTGGATGAATAACCTTTGTGTCGAATCGGAAGTTGCCTGCAAGAAGGTTGCAGATGGGAACAAAGGAAGGGGTTGTGTGTGGCGACCCATGGAATCAAACCCGATCGCAGTGAGTAATTAAAAAGGCAAATGAGATGAAGTCAAGTGATGATCAACAAGAAAGAAAAAGATGGACAAATGTAGACCGGTTAAAACGGACTGTCGGATCGCTATGGACTACTTCGAAAATTATTAACCCGACAAGCGAGTGATCAACGACCCGGGATGATACTCGATGCAGGATCGGAACTGGTTGCGCTATGGTTCAACTGTATCCAAACGCGCCAGCGCGGAGATCAGGTTGGGAATTTTTTTTTCTGAGAATCGCTTAAACCCGGGTACCATGGATGCACCTCGACCGGTGACGGGAGATGCATGAAGAACGGATCCAAGAACAGATCCAAATCTTAGTGTCCGTCGATCATCCCCTGAAGGATAAAGCGCAATACGGTTTTCCATCGGGGTCCACATCACGATCGCCGCTGTTGGCGCTGCTGGTAAATCTGCGCCAACTCCGGATCGCGATCGCGCTGCTCGGCCGGTAAATAAATGGCGTGGGTTGCTTCCCACAAAGCCTGTAAATGCCGGGTCTTGAAGTCTCGGTACGCGGATGCCAGCTCTGCGAACCAGCCAGTCGCGTGAAACAGAACCGGTATGACGTGGCTATGGTATTGGTTCCAAGGCTCTTGATGAAACAACGCTAACACTTGAGCCGAAGTAACCAGCCGTAAAATCCACTCAGATTCAGGCGGAGCAACTTTAGATCGAGGCGCGGTGGGTGCTGGGAAGATGTACCCTGCCGGCCGTGTCAGGTGCTCGAACAAGGCATCCAAGTCCAGCTCCGCCACGGAGGTCAGGCTGAGACGACGGGCCGACCACGGGTGTACTTGGGAGTGAGACCAGGGTACCCGATCGCGGTATCCGAACAACCATTCAGCGCGAGGTCCCCAGGTCGGAGCTAAACGGTCGTATTCCGCGGGCGGAAGCACGGTATTCTCAGCGTCCTGCGGACTGCAGGTCATGCTGACCGATCCTTCGGAGTCGATTGATGTTTCGCCAAAGACATCCACCTTCAAGACTCGGAGCTTTGTAGGTGGTGCTAAGTTACTCGAAAGTGGAGACGATCCAAACTTGATGAGGGGGAATCCACTAGATTGAGGCAGGTACCGATCCAGCAGAAGGTGGAACATTGCTCGATGATCCACGGCGCCGCAGCAATAAGCGCGATCCAGACAAGGCGGCCAGAATATCTTCTTCAGAAGATTCGAACTACTCTGTATCGGAGAGTGATGGAATGCCGGCCGGAAGCTTTTGGGCCCGTTTACTTTCTGCTTAGGAGGCGGATCGTTTTCTACCCGCGTTGCCTTGAGCTGTTAGAGTCCGTGCTGATCCTGACGTAGCTGTGGACCCGTCCGAGCGAGTTGATGTAGAGGGTCGCGTAGAGACGCGTGGTTATTCATCAGATCCGGAAGATTTCGCAGATCGCACTGGTCCAGTAGATAGCGAAGACTCACTGGCTGACTTGGCCTGAGAGGTATCCACCTATTCTGTTCCGGCCTGCGTCAGCTTCGCAGTGCGGGGAAGCTTGATCGGGAGACCGGGATCCGTGGACCTGGATCGCTTGCCAGTTGGTGCGGTAGCGGAGGCCGTGGACGGTACATTTGAGGGGAGGCGGAGTGATCCAGAAGCTGATTTACGTCAGATGAGTCCGGATCGTGTCGCAATCGCGAACGACCAAGAGACACTGCTGTTCCCAGTTCGATGCTTGATTACGCAGACGATCCACCTAGGCGTCCCGGTTCTCGAGGTCCGATCGCAGCCGTTGCAGCTCCTTCTTTACGAGATCTTGTTCACGGGGGCAGTCTTAATGGGTCTTCGACATGTTTCCAATGCCAGTCTGGTCGTGTAAAGCTTCTTGTCAACTCTGTGGAAGAGTTTCTTGTACTTGGATGCCTTGGCTGTTGCAGCTTGGAGATCGCCACCCGAGGTCTGTTCCGCAGCAGCCAGGCGCGAAGTCATAGCTTCCACTTGCTGTTGGACGGCGGACGATTCACAAGTGCAAAGATCCTCTACTTGTTTGAACTTCTTTTCGGCTTCTGAGAGAGCTGTCTTGAGTTCTCGGACCACGTGATCTTAACCCAAGCGCCGCGCCAGCTCCGTCTGAAACCCGTGCAATCTCTCGATCATGTCTTGGCAATCCGTCCAGAGGCCGAGATAACGCTGTTGGACATAGGTTGCCAAGCGCGGGACGAACTCGACGTACGATTGCAACTGATTTTGCAGTCGGTCGATCTGCAGTTTCTGGTCCCGAAATAACTCCTTCAACGAGTGGTAGTCGGCAACAACGGTGGCATGAATACCAGTTGACCGTAGAGAGCTGCGATCCCCGCAGTCAAAAAATCACAATTCAACAAAAATGCAGCGCTCACCCGAGACGACGGCAACACAAATGGCCTTCTAACGGGTGGACCCGGCGGCGGAGTTGAAGGCCGAGTCGGGCTTTTGGCCTCCAATGTGGGAGGTGCAGGTGATGTAGGAGCCATGGGCGTTGTGGGTGCACCCTCCATCGACACGGTATGTAGAGCGTCGGTGCAGGGGACGATTGTGGAAAAGCGCGAAGGAAGAATGAGAGAAGTGTGGATCGCGCGATCCGCCTTAAGTACGAAAATCAGTTTGATTGGTGGAGCGCGTACGGAGATAGGCCCGTTGGCACGGATGATGGTGTCACATGGCTGAGTGACAGGAAATGACCGTGGAAATTATGCAGAGTAACCCACTTAACGGTCACAGAGGGATAAAGGTCACGCGGAGTGTGTCATGATGATCGAGGTAGATTACGTACTCACCGTGGAACGCATACCGCGATCCGGTGCTCCGCGATCCAGTATGGGGCAATCCACTATGAATTATCTGCTATGGACCACAGGATGTAAGAGGTGAATGACATAGACAGCCGACCTAGCGAAAAGATAGGCATAGTCGTAAGTTGTAGGTTTGGTTGGTTGACATTAAACAGAGTTGAATTTGCAACGAAAGACACGCGTCGACTTCTCCCGGGCAGGATCTTTGGCCTCTTGTTGAATAGCGAGTCATTCACGTCTCAAGTGAACTAAGCCCTTGGATTGTTTGGCCAGGCGTAAGGTCAATTCTCACCCCCCCCCTCACCTGCGATAGGACGCAGAAAACCTTTACGGTTCAGATTCAAGATCGCGAGACGACTCAAGTGGTCAGAAGGCTCGCGTGTCAAGCATCACCCCTGGCAAAGGCGACTCTGGGAGAGCGCCCAAGTTACAAGCGATCAAGTGAAGAATTTCTACGCGATCCACACCTACGTTGACCGGGTGAAGTAATTCCACTCGATCAACACCTATCCCTAAGACAGTCGAGTTCAGCTTCAGCTCAAGTCCACCAGAGAAGAGCGCAAACCCGCCCCACCGACGGGTACACAAGGTGAGCAAGAATTTACAGAACACGTAAATGGGTTACCCCCTCCGTTAGTCGGTCGCCCGGGTGCCAGTGAAGTCGGGATCGTCTCAGGAAATGAGCGATCGCCGCTCCACCACATAGGCGTTTGAATATTTGATGTGGGTACATCAGAAGTCAGCTTCGGAGGTAATCAAGTTGCCAACGCTAGAATCTAAAAGTTTCTTTCGAGATCTGCGTAGTAACAAGATCAAGCAGACCTGAATACACGTCACAGAGGACGAGTACGTCGCCGAAATTCGGTCGACACAAGTGTTTTCTGAGAACGAACAAGTTCATAGTAGCTCATCGATGGACGAGAGTGTCCTCGATGAGAAGACCAAGATTGAGCGATATACACCTCAATCTTGGGAGTCTTTGAAGACGAATTCTTTGTGTAAGGATTTGGTTGAATTCAGGGATGTTTTCCCTGAACCCGTGTCATGCGAGCTGCCCAAGTACAAAGGCACTCGGCATGAGATTGAATCGAAAACTGGTTCAAAGTACTGTTTCATGAAGCAGTGGCCACTGCCTCGTGAACAGGTCACAGCGATCAGCAAATCCTTTGCTGATCGCTTCACGGCTGGTCATGTGAGGGAATTAACATCCCTCACACATCTCCGACCCTCTGTGTGCTAAAATTCACAGAAGAGTGGTGGATAGTACACGCATTCAACAAATTGAACGCTGCAACCGTACCGGATCAGACGCCGATACCTAGGAAGGACGTCATCATTGATGGTACGGCAATAAGTACTATCGTTTCGTCCGTGGATATGATGGATGGATTCTATCAGATCCTCATGCGTGAACGGGACATCCCGTACGCAGCAGTGAGCACCCCAGTGGAATGCTCTGGGAGTGGCTAGTGATGCCATAAGGGCTAAGTGATGTAACTACAACGTTCAACATATGTGTTACAACTCTGTTGCGATCGGTGCAAGACTTCGCACCGAGTTACTTTGACAGTGTCCTTGTCCACATCCGGGCTTTGGATGGAAAGACGGACGTGGAGGTTTATAAAATCGCCCGGCAGGTTCTTACACTTTTGCGTGAGATTTTGCTGTTTGCGAACCTCAAGAAGTGTATATTCGCAGCGAGCGAAATACCACTTCTTGGCTGCATCGTAGGTAAAAACGGCGTACGCCCTGATCCGGAAAAGATAAAGGCAATTAGCAACTGGTCTGTGCCAGTCGATGTAAAGGGACCTCGAAAGTTCCTTGGCTCAGCGGCGTACTTGCACAAGTACTCGCGCAACTACGCCGAGATGACCGTACATACCTCTCGACTGTTAAAGAAAAATGAGAGGTGGTCATAGAGCGCTGAGTGTCAGCACTTTTTTGCAGGTAACAAGAAAAGCTTGGTACAATCGCCTGTGTTGGCTATTGCAGACCAGCACAGACCATTCCATGTGGTTTGTGACGCTAGCGATTTTGCTATCGGCTGCGCGTTGATGCAGTACGACTCAGACGGCGTTTAGCGCGTCGTGTGCTATCAATTGCATCAGCTGCAAGCAGCTGAGCGCAATTGTTTGGTGCGTGACAAGGAACTCTTTGCCATGAAATATGCACTGGCTACGTTTCGGGTATATCTCTTTGGAGATAGGCCCTTCATCGTTTTTACCGACCATGCGTCATCAAGCACGGCCGTAAACAGTCCACACCTCTAGCAACGAATGGCGAGGTGGATGTCTTTCTTCGCAGAGTACAACTTCTCCGTAAAGTCTAAACCAAGACGACTTAATGTCGTCGCTGATGCTCTTTCGCGTTGGCCCGATTTCGAGCCGACTGCTCATCACAACAGTAGGGGTGATCCCACTGTAGCGACACTAAAAGTGAGTGCTCCGTCGTAAAATGTACTCTACGACGTGCGTAAAGCATACGCAGAAGATGAGTCTCTTCTGAGATTGATAGATTACGTGTCTAATGCAGTCAAGCTTTGAAAAGCGTGTCGTCTCAATGACGCTCCTCAACTGAACGGTTTTCGATTCGTGAAGAACTTCTGTATTTACAGTAGTTCACGGCGACACACCTTGTATAGTCGTTCCCGCTCAGAATGATTTGCGATTGCGCATCATGTGTGAGTGTCACGATGCCCCAACAAGTGGGAATCACGGTAGAGAAAAGGCTAACCTCACGGTAAGTCGTGACTTCTACTGGCCTCGCCAGCATGTGTCTGTGCGCAAATACATCCGCGCCTGCGAAGTTTGCCAACGGGTGAAGCCTAGGCCTTCATCCCGCACACCCTCAGAGCCTCTACCGATTCTGGCAAAGTGCTGGCAGTCCGTATCGATGGACTTCGTCTCTGAATTTCCCAAAGAGGCTCACAAGAATACTGGTTATTCTTGTACTTGTTGATCGGTTTAGCAAGATGGTACATCTTATTGCTGTACCGAAGTCAATCACTGCCCAGGGCTGTGCTCGTGTCTTCATCGATACTACCTTCCGGCTTCACTGGTTATCCCGTGAACTCGTGTCTGATAGGGATCCCCGCTTCACAGCGAAGTTGTGGCAATTCGTGTTCCGTTCACTTGGAACACGTTTGACGATGTCGATTTCTGACCATCCAAACCAGATGGTCAGACGGAACGCGTCAACCGCGTCCTTGAAGAGATAATTCGAGGGCAAGTCCAGTCCTTGAAGAGCTGAAGTGAGTTCTTGCCGATGGCGGAATTCGCCTTCAACAATTCGGTGCATGCGTCGACAACGTATACGCCGTTCTTCGTGAATGTCCTACGCCATCCACGTTTACCCGCTTTCTTAGAGTGTGACTCTAGTTTTGGGGGGTGGGCTCGCCCAAACAAAATCCGATCTGTTTCCAGCTCATCACACGTCTACAATGGTGTCGAAGTGATGGATGCCGATGTAGATGTGATCAACATCGACGATGACGATGACGACGATGCTGGCATATTCAGTATCGCCAATGACCGCCAAAGTGAGGACGATGATGCATTCACTAATGAAGACAAAGATTTTACAGCAGTGCGCTTTGTGCGCACTGCTACTAACAAGGATGAGTCAGCAGAGGAATTTCTGCTGACTCACGTAGCTGTTGTCTGCTTCGTTCAAGATTCTATTGCAGATTCTATAGATAAACAGAAAATAAACGCAGACAAACATGGAAAAGCAAATGTTCTTTCATTTAATGCAGAAGACTTAGTTTTACTGTCAGCCGTAAATCTACCTAAACACGCAGTGACAAACGTGGGCAGCATTAAATTACTGCCTAGGTTTATCGGTCCATTTTTTGTGTTGCGCCCGATTGGCAACGCATAAACGATCAAACTGCCTCTTAGTATGAGTACGCATCCTACATTTTACGTTGGATGTCTCCGCTCGCACTATCAGTACGAGCCCATTTCGATAGACGAAGAACACCTCCGCGGTCAATGCCCGAGGTCATTATGAAGTGGTACTGTTTTTAAGAGCCAGTCTGGTCGACTAGCGAAGAGACCTGCTCACGCAGTTGAGCGATGTTCTGACGAGCTGCAGTCAGCTCGTCACGTAGGGAACGAATCGAACGCTTGTTTATAAGTTGCGCAAGCGCAAACTCGG